CAAGCAATGGCAACACTGTACTAAAAAAAATTATCTCCAGCGCGCAAGATTATGTATTGAAAATTCTAAAGATATGCTCATTTTAAAATCATTTTGCGATATCGCTGTTAAAATGAATTTTATGGCCTAAGTGCGAAGAGCATGATATTTAATAAATAAAGGTAACACCCAAAATATTAAAAAAACGCTCCTTTGGACGCAATTTAAAGTTTCATATGTATATATTTTTTTAATTTTTGAAACAGTGCTGTTGAACGTTTCCTTCGTTTAGTGAAAAGTTCTTCGAAGGGGTAGGGATATAGTTGTAACCTCTTCAGTTACTTCTACTTTCGCCCACCTCGAAATTCTTGGAAAAGTTACTTTCTAACGACCATTTAGCAATTCTCGGAAAAGCTGAAAGTACCCTGTAAACGCGTACCATTCTCATGTCTTTGTTTCCTTTCATGGTGTGCCGAAGGAGACATTGTTTCGTTCCTCAGAAAAACTGAAACGAGGGATTTCTTCGCTCAAAATCTTTACGCATCTGTTAATACACTGGTGTGCAAAAATTAAGGACGAGACGGTTTTTTCAATATAACTTTGTACAAAAGCTTTCCAAATCAACACATTTAATACCGTAAGATCCCCAATATGTAAGGACAGAGTAATGTAGCAACACTTAATAAGAGAAATCAGAGGGATAAAAAGAAGTTTATTGAAAAAGTAGCATGGAGCGCAATGCGACTGAAGGCAGAAACATCCTGTGATGGATGTCCAGCAAGAAACCGGTCTTAGGGGGATATGATTCCTGACTGCTAGGCAGGTTTCACAGAGTCTGCCCATGCTGAGAATGAGGGTGTCAATGGTTGTTGAGGAATTGCTTCCCATTCGTCTTGCAGCGCCAATCGAAGCTCCGGAATCGTTACTGGTGTAAGGTACGAGCTGCCAAGCGTCTGCCTAGAAAATCCATACATGCTCGATGGGATGAGATCCGGAGATCATGCGGCCAATCCATAGTTCAATATCCTCACTCTCTAAGAGCTGTTTGGCAGCTACTGAGCGATGACATGGTGCATTGTCGTCCATGAAAAGGAACTGCAGCCCATAGCGCCTCTAAAAAGAGCACATAGGATGAAGAATCTCGTTACAATAAAGGGTTCCCGTGACTGAACCTGCGTCGAAGATGTGAAGGTCTGTACGACTACAAGCATGATGCTTCTCAAACGAGAACACCGCCACCTCCATACCTGTCCCTTTCATGATGTTCGAGGGATGATTGCGGCTCCCGCTCTCCCAGATGAGTATGCGATGAGAATCGCTACTCAGACTGAATCTGCTCTCATGTAAAGAGTACTCGTCCCATTCATGTGTCTCCAATTCCGGTGTTCCCGGCACCACAGAGAACGCCTTCTCCGATGGGCAGGCGTTAGAGGTACACACCGTACAGGGCGTCATGCAAATAGACCACCACGTGCAGTCTTGGCACGGTAAACGCGATATCGGTCGTCCAGTCTGAAATTGTCTCAAAGTCGTGAAACGATGCTGTGAGCAATTCCGAACTCTGCAGCCACACTTGTCACATGCGGCCTTCCTCCAACTTCCAATGATTCGACCTCGGGTAAAAGCATCCGAGTCGTCTAACAGATTGATTATTCGCCATTTTCACTGAGGTAGCAACTCGGTGTGATTTTAACTGCTATACGGCGTGCAATCTCTTTGCCAGAAATACTGATCTTACACCGAAACATGCTTTATACTACTCAGACACTCCCCATTACGTCTACCTGATATTGAGCATGTGCTACCGTAAATCACCTTACTTAATCTCTGATTGGTTTTTCTGTCCGCTCTGCCTCTTCGTTCAGCTGATATGCTAATTTTTCGACTTCGTCCTTAATTTTTGCACACCAGTGTAGATGTAGTGCCGACTGCCTGTCACCGATCACCAAGTATCACGTACCAAGTCGGAGCATGAGAATTCTGACGGAAATTTTTTCAGGAAATGAATGTCGGAGCATGAGAATTCTCATGGAAATTTTCTGTCAACATTATAGTACTCACAAACAATCAGGGTGCTCTCGCCATTCGATAAACGCTCTGAAAACTTCGGGCAAATGAGAATGCAGAAAGTCTTTCAGACATGCTCAGGAAATCTTGATAGTGAATGAAGCTCCGGAGAAAGAGTTAATTAGTTTTAGTGAAGAAGAGAAACAACTTTCTCTTTTGCGTTTACAGCTCTACCAAGAACATTTTTATACCTCTGCGGAGAGATCTAGGAACTGGTAGTTGGATTTTCGACTACCAAATTAGAGATCAACTTTTCTGAAACATCCTTCGGTGGCCATGAGAGATAACAAGGCAGCTTGTCTCACACAAGAACTTTACCCTGAAATCCAGCCAAAAACTCCCTCTGAGATCTTAACGTCCAACTAACGGACAGGAACTTTAGCAAACTTTGTTAATCATCAGTCCCCCCCCCCGATGAGAACAAACGAACATTATCTCGCAAATTATTTTCATATTACTTAGAAATAAATTAAATAGGCTTCGTCCTTGCTTTGAGTCAGTTCGTTACAAGTGGTACTGTTAGCCATCAATAAGTTTATTTTTTATTTAAGGGTATATTGGTGACAATATTTATTAATATTGATTCATTTGCCAATAAATCAAAATATATTAAACTTATGACAATAGCAATCAAAAGATCCTTGCCATACATGCAGAATTATTGTCGGTATAATTATCTACAAATATATATTTTGCTAAGATTTGTCAGCCTTTAACCCGAATGAAAATTAACTTCAATACGTTAAATAGCTAATTGAGGGTTGTTTTGCAGATTTGTCCAATTCTGGCAAGCAAAATTTTCAAAAGTTCTGATAAAGAGTCGTTTGAAACAGGAATTTAAATTATTGAAGGCATTTTATCTCTATAAATGCTTTGAATTGAATTAACAGTTATTTAGAAGATATTTGAAATGTCTGAATTTCAGCTAAATTTCATTTTCCTTCGTCAGTCATTTTCACGAAGAGAAAAAGAAAAAAAATATGATGTGTACACCACATGACTTCCTTGTACGGAATATTAAATTATACGCATTTTTCTTTCATTTCATTTAAACTTATTAGATTGAATTAAACCTACTTCGTCGACAGCGCATAAACCACAATAGAATAAATGCAATCTTTAAATTTCACTCTATTTGTTTACCATAGCGACACTCTGGCGCTAGGTTTACTTAACAGTATTATATTTCGTTCATATTATAACTCAGAATGCACAAAATGTATATCATTTAAAGAATTATTTAATCGTTGCCACATGTTCTATTCAAATACTATAACAAAGCTAGAACGATGTATAAAAGAAATTAAGCTAACAAAACAAAAAAAAGAAACAGTTTTTCACAGACGATTGAGTATTTCTCATTCAATTAATTCAGTTCTCACTTCGCGACAAGGCAAAAATACATAAAAACTCAAAATATCTATATTAAAAATTACGAAGTAAATCTTAAACGCTTATTTCTTCGAAAAAATTTCCAGAAAGGATTAAGCATGATTTAAATTAATAAATGAAAAGAATGCGTTATCTTTGTTGTTGCGAAGCTAAGTTTCTCTAGATTGGCAACAAATCCACTATTCTGCCAAGTTTCAAATGTAAACAAGATCAATGGCCGCCATGAAAAAAATTAATTAGGCTTAGCCGGCACTTAAACAACTTTAAAAATTGTTGATAATTCTAAAAATATTGCATACAGATTTACTAAAGGCATAAAAACCTTAACCGGAAGATAAAAAACAACATAATTCAATCATTTTTAAAGCAAAAAAATTTACAATTTACAACAATAAGAGTAAAGAAACTGAGATCACTGAGCCGGGTAACAGAGTGGATATATATATAAATATATTTATATACGTTTGGTGCGGCCGATTGCAACCAAAATACGAGGTGCACATCTACATGTTATAGCAGTCCTATACAAAATTTCAACGTTCTGAGGCTACTCGTTTTGAGTTATGCGAGATACGTACGTACGTACGTTCGTACAGACGCCACGAAAAATTCTCTTCAGAATTCATTTTAAAGCAGTTTTATAATTTTTTTTGGAGGAAAAGAGTGTTTTTCTGTCCTTACATACAGATATCACGGAAAACATCGTTAAATTGCATTTGAAAGGAGTCAAAATGTGATATTTTAGTTGAAATATGCTGCCTGAAACTTTTCGCGATTACAATACTTCCTTTTTACTTCGTACAAGGAAGTAAAAAAATAACCTCTGTCATGTGCAGCATTAGTTCAGAATATTTGATTTAGAAAAAGAAAAGAAAAAGTATGGAAATGTTAGGAAAATGAAAAAACGCGGAGAATATATTTAGAATTCGGAAAATACAAATTAACAGTAGAATATGAATGTTCTTAAGAGCTAAATATTACACTCTCACTAGACCACAGTAGTTCTAACTACCCTGCAAATGCATCACAATTCTATATTGACGAAATAAAATTTTCGCTAACTATACCATTCAGTTTCGACTAAAATAAAAAGAGGCAGATAAAAGGGTATTCAAGACCATAAAATGCTAAATCCCCGAAATGGCATTGCGTTATATAGGGTTTGCGCTTGGAGAGATTTTGGCTTAATTCTGATCGCATCTTCTTCTTCTACTTTTCATTGAAGCTGCGATTACTTACCCACATATGTGCTAAATTACAATCATTATTAATTAATAAATTCTACTGCTTCGGGGGGGGGAAGAAATCCCTCTTACATGCAATTTTATATGCATTCTTACTTCTCGCTCTCGGTTTCAAACAAATTCAACTCCACACAACGGATATATTTTCAAAATATCAATAAATTACAGGACTTTTTAAAAATTCGAAAATTTCTATGGTTTTGGCATTTGTTTCGATGACACACATAGAAAATGATAAATAGTACATTCTTCGTTTTGTTTTTACAAGTGTAGAAAGCATAGCAAAGAGTCAGTAACACGACTGGAGTTGTTACTCACCTGGTAAGGCGTGGCCAGTATAGTGCCACGAATTTCCAACCACAAACCCAAAACACAGCAGGTTCAACATTCACGACGGAATAATTCCCTCTTCTGTCAGTCTTCAAACTCCCGATCTCTGTGGCTGGATATGCCCGAAGCGATTGGTGGGCTTCTGAGACACCCTCTTCCTTTGCCGTCCCACCTCATGCGCTGGTGAGGTTGAAAATGTCACCTGAAAGAGACAACTGTTTATAAATACTAATACATCTGATACAGTTTACGAAAAATAATAATTTGCAAGCTGATGATTTGCTGCTTTTATATATATATTTACAAACAAAATGACTGTGTTAAATAGTTCTTAGTCCTAAACTCGAATGTCAATTTCATTTACTAATAAATTAACACATAAAAGGGGCATGGGACGAGGCTAATGAGGCACTTGCATGGGGTTAATAACTAAAAGGGGTATGACAGATACAACTTAGATATGAAAAGCTAGAAATGCATGACTGTGATTGTCAACATTCAACGTTGGAACGGATCAATAGGCATCGTTTTCAAACACCATACCTAAAGTAGCAATATTTTCTTAACACTAGACACGATAATTAAAAAGAATTGACTTCTTGACACTTTTGTCATTTTCTGTCTAAATTATTTTGTCCTACTTCCACTAATCATGTTTTCATAGCCATCTTCTTGGTCAGAATGGCACCTCTTAGTTTACCCTTTGATGCAGCCTGATCTCAGCATAATAGCAGCAAAAATAGTTGAATATGAATCAATTGATTTATTTTTAACTTACCGCAATTAGGTTTCTTTAATACATATTTTATCGCATGGTTTCGTTTAATTTCCAGAAAGAACTGTGCATTATATAACAATTCAACTGAATTCAGAAAAGTATAACCGATGTTAATTTGTTTGCAAAAGTGGCTGTAGCTTCACACAACTGTACATTTTGTTTCTAACATTAAAATTTATTGCTGGAACAAACGCAATAAAGTTCACTGAAGTTGATAATGTACTATATAGAGTAAACATTCTTAGGAAGACTATGCTGATGACATCACTAATTTATTTCTGTATACCTTTAATCTGAATTGCAGCTCTTACCCCACCCACTTAGCTATAGCAACAATTTCCAGAGTCCTTCAACTGAATGTGTATAAAGCGGCAGGTATTTAAAGTTTGTTTCCGGCGGTCTAATACACAGAAGTCGAACAGCAAAAGACATCACGAGGTTGATCAAGGATGTCCTAAAGGAAATATACCATATTATATATTTCTTTCTCCAGTTTTTGTATAAAGTTTGCCGTGTTCCATTTTTTTCTGTTTGCGTATATTTTGAACGTTGACCCGTTCATTGAAGAATATTGCGGGGAAAAGTTTTTGCTATCAATTTCATTACTGCCCGCAGAATTTTGCTTCAGCTTTTGCCCACTTATATCCACATTTAATTTCCCTGGTTAACTATAAATGCAGTTAGTTTCATTTACTGTTATTCTTGGAATGTCCGAACTTATTGCGTCATAGAATGAACAAATCAACATCCTAATTTCATTTTCTGTTGTTCTTAGAATGTAAAGAGATAAGTCAAGACAAAAAAATTGCTTATTATAAAAAAAAAAAAAAAAAAAAAAAAAAAAAAAAAAAGGCTTAAAATTTTAAATTTTGCTGTGGAATGAAGACTAACCATTCTGGATAATTCTAAGGTAACTGATAATCAGAGTTTAAAAAAATTAAATAAAAGACATTCGTTAATACAAGTAACAGAGAAAAAAGTATTTTTGACAGAGAAAATAGTGATGATAAATAAAAATTGTTTTATTTAAGTAATACAATAAATATTTAATTACATTTTTTTCTGCGTTAAAAGTTTTATTAAAATAGAAATTATATTGTAAAAATAATCGGTAATAAAGTTCTTCAGAAAAATTGAAGACTTATTTGCCAACCAGTGGCGGAATGGGTAAGCAGACTAAGCAGTGGTAATTCAATCCAAATCGAAATCTCGGGAAAGGAGCGTATTATATGGGTGCTTTCCTGTTTTACCCCGGCCAGTTTTTCTTACAAAATATGCTACGTAAACATTCTCATGACCATCCTTGCCTGCTTTTCCCTAACCAATTAAACAAAATCGAATTATCATATTTGATCGATAAATATAAGGTCTGAATAAAATTAAAGTATAAAATACAAGTATTAATTAGTGTGATATAAAATTAAATTTGTTCTGTATAAAACTAAAGTAATTAAAGTAAATTTTTTATGAAGTAAAAACAATTTTTGCTTTATTTTACATTTATGCTACAGAAGTTACGAAATAAATGAACTCATTCCAACTGTATCAATGGCGATTTGAAAAAGATGAACTGAAATCCCCAAAAAATTATATTAATTGTGCTAATTTTTACGTTGTATACCTTTATGGAGAATAATTTTCTTTTTTCTATGAAGCGATGTGGATAATATACATAGCAAAAGACGATATTCCGGCCAACTAGAAGTTACATAGCAGAAGAATAAATAACAATAGGTAAGATAGTATTAAAAACTCTTCTAATGAAAGGATCTGAGCATACCATATTTACACTCTACAATTTGTTAATAGTAAAGGAGTTTATGCTTGTAAATGTGTAAGCATAACTAAAGAAATAAAACAGTTTAACGAAAAATTATATATAATATAAATAAAACAGCTTAATTGTGAAAGAAGAAAAAAATCCCTCTTCTGCAATCTTTTCAAATTAATTTCAGCTCTATCATTGTTAAGCAGCATTATGAAATCCCATGCATAAAATGGCTTCTGAAACAACATCTATGAATAATACGTAAATCGAATTAAAATATGTTAATTCTTTATGCAAATATTGTATGTTTAACTAGTATTAAACTAATATAAGTAAAAATTTAAATAACATTTAAAGGCATTTGAAAATTTTACAATCGAAAATAAAAATATATAAAACTTGCATAAAATAAACATGCATGATAATTACATATAAAATAAACAGCTTAAAATTGTAAAAAATACTTTGGAATTAAAAATCAACGTGCACTTCTACGTGCAGAATTTTTAATTTTTACTGGAGTATAGCTTGCTCTAAGCAAAACCAGCAATAATAAAACTCAAATAATGATCAAAATAATCCCTTATTCGGAATTATAAAATTAAAAAAAAATAAATATTAACTGGCGTGATTTAGATGCAAAATAAACTAGCTTCATGAAATGCCATACGATTTATCTTCATCAATAAAATATCGTGAAATTGAAAGGTGATGTATTTTGTTAAGTTACGCGTAGATGTTCTGTAATAGGAAACTAGTTTTAAGAATATTATTTTAAGCATTGCTGTGCATTCTGCAATTATTCAATCGTCCTACTTAATGTCTTTATTTAAAGTAAAATTTATGCTTAAATCCATTTATCAACAAAACTGACATATGGAAGTTTCATAGTGATTAATCTTAACTATCAAGTGCATTTGTATGCTTATGTTTTAAAAGAAGCATTTTTTCTCATAACTCAAATCATAGACACTAAAGAAAATTAAAGGGAGTTCCTTCGTTTTATTCAAATTACAGCAGCAATTACATATAGCACAAATTAAAAAAGAAAAGTTATTATGAAAATTGGCAGCCATTTAACCCGAACTCATGTACAAAATACATGTAGGAAATCGCCATGCAACTGTAACTAATTGAATAATGTAACTAAAAAGAGCCATCTAATGAGGGTAAGAGCGACGATGATAAATGCAGAAGTGTAATGTTGTGACGATTATCTTTTCTCAGCCAATTTCAGTTCATGTAAATAAATCGCAGTTAAGTAATAAATCGATTAGTGATGTTTTTCTTATGCATTTCTGGAGTCAGAAGTGGGATAACTTCCTATCCCTTATGTCCATGTTTCTGTCTCTACGGGCTGTGAGTAGAGTAGCGCTCCTACGATGCTGACTGATAATTAAAGATGATCAGTTTTCAAGAGGACACAGGTAAGCATTTTATAATTTTCGCTTTCAATATATAATTCTTTAAAGTATGGAAAAAACTTGGTGTCCAAAGATAAAATTTAAAAATAAACCCCCCCCCAAAAAAAAAAAAAAAAAACAACTAATTTCAAGAATTGCTTTAACAGATGAATGTCTTAACAGAACTGCAGTGTTGCCTTAACAGATTAAAATGCTACATGTGAAATATTTAAGAGTTTTAGTTGAAAAAAATGAATGCATTAAAATCTTCAAACTAAACATTTAATCACAGAAATCTTGATTGAGCGGGAAGGAAGCACTAGTGAGATTACCAAGAAAAATAGAACAGCTATAGTAACAAACTTAAACGTTTATTGAAACGGAAAGAAAATTTCGCTAAATTCATGACACCTGAAAAAAAGTTAAGCACTTCGAATGACAGCTTAAATTTAGCCTTTTTAATTAAATTTCCTAAATTAATTATTAAACCTTATTCAGAAGACCCGAAAATTTGAAATTATTCAGATAGAAATACGAATCATATAAATAGCGAATCCTAATAAGATTCATGCAGAAGTTTATTTGAAATTATTACATATAGAAATAATTCACTTTCGAAAATTGAAAATTTTTCCTATTTAAAAACACACTTAACTGGAGGAACTTTAAATGTAGTATCTGATTTTCAGTTAATTGACAGAAATTATGACAACTGTGTAAAGCTGTTTAAATATGCTTTTGGTCATAAAGCTATCGTAATTGATTCTAATATGAATAATAATTTAAACCTGCAAAGCGTAAAAAATTCTTTAAATGGTCTAGCTTTGAGAAAGTCATATGATGAGTTTGATATCACTATACGAAATTTAGATTCAATGCAAGAGGATTTAAAATCCCACGGTTCAATTTTGATTTCGATCGTCCTAAATTTATTTCCAGAAAATCTTGTTTTAGAATTTTAGCGAAACACAAATTCAAAATGTCTATAAGGTATTTCTCCCATTTTTCTAGCGTGTCTTCGTGGTGTAGTGGTTCTGAACGCTCGGCCGGTATTCCAGAAGTCCGTGGTTCGATTCTCGGCGAAGGCGGTTGGTAATTTTTCAACATGCCTGCTTCCAAAAAATACCTAATGTCTCTACATGTCATGTTAAAGTTTTTGATCTTCTGTGTTTTTGCAAAATATAAGTTTGAATGTCGTGAATCAACATTTTTTAGCTTCACATGACAGAAATTTTCTCAACAAATTCAAATAA